CTGACTCCTTCATGTCTAATTCTCAACAACGTTCTACTCGTTCTACCTCCATCCAGGTACATGTACATATCACTTTAAAGTGATATAGGAGATATTGCAGTAAAAATTCAAAGAATACATGGAATTAGCTGAATTTGCAGATTTTAGTCATTTGGAGGAAAATGAATGATCCTACATTCATAAGACATTTTGATTTACTAGTGACAAGGAAGACCCAAATTGTGGGTTTACTTGAGCTCATGGTATGAAACATGGCTTAAACTGTGATCATGTATCATGACTAATTTGTACAATTAATAATTTTAGTCAATTACTGCCCATATACTGGGCATGAGGACCCTCACGTTTAATCCCTTGATTAAGTTGCAAGATAGATCACTTATTTTTAGTGACGCTTCCTTTAAGGTTGAGGAGTCTGCATCTGCATCCCTCCCCCTCCTAGGTACCTCCATGAAGGCATCCCTTGACTGCGGTATCTCGGGAGACGGATTGGAAGAGACAGATCTGGGATAAAACCTTGAGCCAAGATGGAACTCACATTAAAGCCACATCAATATTGACTGTTTGCATACAGACCGGAGAGAAAGAGAGAAAGAGAATCAAGGAAAAGTTTCCAAGCCTCGATCATGAGATGATCCAACTCAGTATGTGGCATGATCTGTTTTGGGTTGGAGATGCTCTGAATTGTTGTATGTTTAGGCATGTAAGGGGTGTGGAGTGGGGGTGGGGGGGGGGGGGTGGTGGAAGTGAGTGGGTGGGAGGGGTAGATAGTGTGTACCTACATGTATAGATTTGAAATAAAGCATTCAGGCCTTATTATTTAACCTCTCCGTACATGATGATGTCGTTGAAAATGATAATGAATGAATAGATGGTGATGATAATGACGATGATGTGCGTGATGGTGATAGTATTGATGATGGGTGTGGTAATGATAATGGGGGTAGTGGTATTTAATAATTTGAATACGGAAAGCTGTGAATATTCTTGTCAAAATTATCAATTAATCCAAACAAGTACGATATTGACAATCACAGGAAGTAAAACAAAATGCCAAGGAATAAGATAATCAGAATAATATCACTTGAACACCAACATCAAATATCACAGAAAATGTCAACACAAATGCAATCTATGAACAGATAAGATTGTACAAAATTCAAAATTCAAACCAGGTGAAATCCACTACTATACATGTAATGTGAAAGGTTACTGAAGCAACCTTCTCACTTCCACTCCTATACAGGCCTAAAGTAAATAGTTCAAACAATGTAACTTGCTGCTAAATTGCCTCCCTGCCCGTCTCCTTAACATGTTTCATGAAGCCGACAAGACGTCCACGCCAGGAATGTTAGAATGTAAGCCCTTGATGGATGGATGCCTGACAAAGTTCACACCTTCGGCTTCGAGGCCATTGCCAAGAAACCTGCCCAAAGCCTGACAAAAGCACCCTCCATCTGACAATTAACCAACGACCCAGGGGAGAGGACATGAACGCAACATTCTTATACTGGATTCTCACTCCAGGTAACTTACATGTATATGTTAAAAGATTTTATAGAAATATTAATACATCATTGTACAACTTATGGCTAAGAAAGAGGACATGAACGGAACATTTTAATACTAGTTCCTCCCTAGAGCTAACTTCTAGAAAAAATAACTTCTGGAAGTTATTTTGCTAGAAATAGCAAAGTTGATGTTTGTAGGAATGTTCCTCAATATGCATTCTTATGGCATTTGAGAGGACACGTTCATGTTCACGACAATATTTACTGGGTCCTTAACAAATAACTTCTAGAAAAAAAGCTTCTGGAACTTAGTTTAGAAGAAGGGGTAGAGTTTAGATTTTGTATGAATGTTCCTAAATGGTTTTACGACTTGAAGTGGAATTTCGGACTTCCAAGGAATATTCTTTGATAAAATTTGTGGATAGACACGCTGCAGTTTGAATCCATAGTGATCCACAATGATGGGTGGAGATGATGCAAGAACATTGTGTAGCCTGTCTCCCAAAATTCTGTTTTGACGTAAGGTCTAGGAGTTCATTAGTTTGTTTTAAAAATATTATATTTGTGGAGGAACTGAAAGTGGGGTAAATTTTTAGAGATAGAGAGTTCATGAACTGTATACTCAGACAAATAAAAGAGACAGCTCTAAACATATAAACATAATGTCCTCTTTGTAATGTCCTTAAACATAATACCACAATGTATACGACCTTGACTGCAGTCCTCCATCATTGATCATGTTTATATATAAAGCATTACACTCCATTTAACAGTTTAAAATATTTATGGTGATAGAGCATTCCCAACCTCTATCACCGCGCCAAGATAGCCAAAATAAGAGCCTCCCGACTGACTCGTACCCATCCCATCATCGGACAAACAGTCGTCCTCGTGAAAGGCCTGTCATCATCAGCTTGAGATTGCCAAATATCCCGCTATTTGAACTATCCCAATCGCAAATTATCCAGTTAATTTGCGTCTTCATCAGCCCGAAGTTGCAGTTAGCGGGATATTTGGTCGAGATAATCATCCCAAGATATCTTGGGCTAGTTTGCAAAATATCCCGCTATTTGTCCAGTGCGTCTTCACCAGCCCGAAGACTTGCACTATGCACGAACGTTGAGCAAAATATCTCAAAAAAATCTCGAGCTGATGAAGACGCGATTCATAACTTTGAGATTATTTCCCAAATCAGAAATAGCGGGCTATTCGGCAATCTCGAGCTGATGAAAACAGGCCCAAGGATTCCCAGACCCCCCTGGGACAGAGAAGACAGGTGCATGTCTTCTACATCATCTCATTCTTAACCATCTTGTTGTATCATCATGTCACGCAGCTTCATGTGTTTCTAATTGCTTCATGATGTCAAGAAGAGTTCTAAGGCTACATTCATGCCTTGATCCCCCCATACTAGTCTACCTAGTCAATAGGCCCATTTAGACAGCAATACTTTTTTTCTTCTTATAGCACACATCTCCACAGGTCTACTTATCATAGACAATTAGAAATGAAATACATGTACATGTAGTCCTAAAGAACATTCAAAGGATTAAACGCAGACTCTCACAGAATATTTAACTACTTGCCTTGTTAGGAAAGTCATATTACCACAATTTGAATGTTAAATATTGGAAGAGTCATTATGTCTCTACACGATAATAATAATAATAATAGCTCACATTTATGATTCGCCTAATACTTTGTTTCTAGGCGTAGTAAATATTATTACCCTGGTCATCGGATTCAGGTTTAACCGCACACAATGTATGTACATTATCCACTCCCTGGGGAGCATGCTTGCCAGTCGCCATTTTACAAGTGCCACTCACTCATACCAGTTCTTTAAAAAAAATCTGTTACATGTATACGTTACAAAACAAAACAAAAAAGTAAAAGAGAAAATGTCACTGAGTTTCACCTCATCTCATTCAAACAAATCAAAACAAACAAATGAACAAAACACTAACAAAACACAAACAAAACACACACGCACAAACACTTAAAAATAAAAGCTATTGACAAGTTGAACTGAAAGATAATTAAAAAAACATCTGATTCTGCATGCAGTACCTACAGACTAGGATAATCTTGCAACTTAGATCTTTTCAATCTCTTACTTTATAAAGAAGATGTAGATTCAAAATTAAGACAGAACGAGGAAGTGGCTTGGCATACCGAAGAAGAACTACAAAACTAAAATAAAATATCCTATGATGTGTTTTACCCTAACATTGTTTTATTTTCTTCACTGGACAGGCAATGTTACATGTAAAATAGCACCCTAGCAATGACCAAGACTGAACCACAGATGGCAGTATTGCATTTAACATGATGCAAATCTCTAAGAGTGCTCAATCTCTACAATGGCCATGGTGCTCTCATCTCTTTAATAGCACACAACAAATCACGTCATGAAATTCTTCAATCAAGAACCTTAACATTATCTAACCTTTACAATTTAAACCGATATAACCATTTAAAATTTATATGAGTTACGTTTGTTGTGTACTCCAAAGTTCCTGAAAAAATGGAAGGGCGTAGGGGCTCCTTCTCTTGAAAATTGGTTAACTACATAACAAAGTTTAAACAGCAAAGAGTAGCCCCTGAAAAAAGTAGCCCCTGAAGTGCAAAAAAAAGCCCCTGAAAGTTGAAAAAGTAGCCTCCGATTATTTCCCCAAACTTGGATAGAGCCCCAGAAATATATTTTTTTGGGTCACTGTCATATGGGGCGTAGTACTGCTCTGTAGCACAAGCTGCAGATCTACATTCAGCTGTATAGTATTATGAAGCTGTTTAACATCTCTTCTGGGAACCTAAAAGCTTGCCATGCACTCTCAAAGCTTTGTTGTGAAATAGGCAAGTAAAAAATAAACTTTATGATAACATCATTTCATGTAAACTTTATGCGATTCAAATGACCACCAAAAGTTGATTTTGAAAACTTACTCAAACTAATAAAAGCAAGGCTAGTTTTCCCAGCTGGCAATGCAAATGAACTAATTAAAAGGATACCGAACTTATGAACTTTCGGCCCTAGTTTACTGTTTATTGCACAGCGCCATGGTCACCTTGCCAACAATGCTCAACCCAAAACCTAATTTCCACTTGGCAAACAGTTGTTACAGCCAAACTTGAGATGGCGCTTGAAGGGATTTTACAGTGGTGCTTCTAGAACAGCTGCTTTTAATGGCTTTTAGTAGTGGTGGTAGTCATTTTACCTGACTGCTAAGAAAGCATAAATACTTGGTAGTAAGCAACCAGAGAACCGAAAGCTTTAGGTCCTCTCCGCGGGACCTGGTAATGAGGATTAATGCAAAGGTCAATAGCACATCGAATTGGTTTCGAACCTGGGTCGCCGGATTACGAGACCACTGCTCTACTAACTGAGCTATTGCGCTTTTAAAGCAAGTCTAGTTTTCCCTGCTGGCAATGCGAATGAAACAGTCAAGGAAGAGGCGTGTAATTAAGGTAGGACGTCATGTTACTTACCGTTGTCTCATCTTCCATACAGATAGGACATGTAATGACTCTCTTCTGTGGTGTGGCGTGTCGCCCTCTTCCTGGACCTGTTGCTGTACTGTTAGGTGTCTCTGCCCTGATTTAAGAAAAAAATAAAAGGTTTGTAATTATTAATTTTTTATTAATCATTAATTTTTATTATTATATATGCATGATCTATTGAATAAAGAACAGATTTATATTTTGTGTGTTTATCATAAGTTTTGGTTGGTAACTTTTAGTCAGACAATGGTGCCCTTAGAAACACTCATATTAAGCGCCTAAAAAATGTTGTGTATTATCATTATAATTATTATTCATTTATCTATTAATCAATGCATTCAGCCCGCAAAATGAGACTTTGGGTGACTGTAACACATAAGTTTGCATTCAATCTCAATGGCCAATCAAAATCATTATTGCATGTACACACATTTTGTTCAAAAGGCTGACCATCAAGGGATCAGAAATGTCATATCAAATTTGCAATTGATCACAAAACCGTTGGGTTACAAGGCCCTGGCCTAGGGATAATCCCCCCTCCCCCTTTACACAGACACACACACAAGCAGGGGCGGGAAACTCTTTCAAGGGCAATGTCGTCCTGGCTCGAGGGCTATAAAAACCCAGCAGGTTCTTGCCATTCCTCATTCCCATTCAACTCTTCAAGCTGTGCAGACCAAGAAATTCAGGTATATTACTAAAGTTGCCTCCTGTGTTTATCATGCCTACAAAGAGAAGTGCCTGAAAGACTACCCATGGGAAAGCAGCCACTAGTACTACCGAAGACCCCCAAGCTCCAGCTCCTCTGAAGGCCAGCCAGATCAGGCCCAAGTTGCTGAGCCTCCTGAGCCTGTCCCCTGTAGATCTCCACAATCTGCCTCAGTAGATGATGGAGAGTCCCTGGGTTTTGTTTAGCTGACGTTGTCTTCCTCTCTCTTTCACCATTAATCTTTAAAAAAAACTTTATATAGTCTTATCCTTCCCTTTTTTGGACTCTTGGTCTGTGCCTGATTTAGTTATTGCACAGCTCAAGAGTCCTCTAATGATGTACTTGTAATGATGTATACTTATTGTTGTAATTTTTAATATGTCCTTTTTGGAATATTCAATGATGATAGTTATTTCATATTTGATATTTTAACTTATGTGACTTATTTATGTATTCGTTACTGCCATTTTATGATGTATACTTGATTAAAATTTTATATTATACCTAAGACAGGTGCCAGTCTCTGGACTGTTTGTCCTTGTTTTTTTTTAATGTGATTTGCTTTGATTTCAATAAATCCTATATATATATTGTAAAGGCACTTCATACACCGTGCGGTTGTAATTGTCTATTTGGCATTCCATAATTTTATCGTCTGCGAAGATTGTAATTTTTGGCCCAAAACTGGGGCACGTTATGGCGATGGAAAAGGAATTGCATCGTTAATCGGCATATTATTTATGCCTGCCTGAGACTTTGGTAACAAGTGGCACAGTGGTAAGCATAAATAGAACTTTTAGGTTTAATTTCAAGAGAATCGCTCAGTATGCATACAGCAATCAGTGTTATTCTACTGTAGAACTTCAATAGCTCGTGTATCAGATTGATGCATTGTATGCATAGTGTGCAGGTCTTTGTGTAGTACTATAATTATGAATATCTGTTTGTATGGAAATATACAGAAACTCTTAATCAGTATCGAATTTATTGTGTAATGATAACTCAACTAGATTAAACTCAAACCTCAGTCCTGAGGAAATAAGCACTCAAATACGCCAAAACTTGATATAAGATGGTTGACATTACATTTATTGCTCACATAACATTTTTGCAATTACATTGTCTATTTAAGCTGTTTTCGACACCCATTGTATACAGTTAAATACGTTTACAAATATTCCTTATTTGTAGGATATCAGTTTAGAGTTTATTTCTAATTTTCACAACACTTAGTGTATTAAATACTGGACAGTATTGCTATTATGATAATTTAAGTCCAATTACTTTAAATTGAAGTTAATTGTTATTCACCTTAGTATAATGTTTAGACTCATAATACAGTGGAACCTTATTATTAAAGGCACTGATGTGGCAGACTTTACCTATAACAATGTATCTTCTCTCGTCCCAAGTGCCTCGTTATAATGCAGTTGCACTGTAACATGCTTTGATATGATGATATACTTATGTTGGATTTTGTTCATTTGTTTGTTTGTTTATAGTTTTTACGGGAATCTAAGGAACAAAGTGAATCAGCAAGCCAAAGAGTCAGCTTTGACCATGATGAAGAGACTAGATTCAATAAAGCTGTTTTGACTATTGTTTACCCAGTATGAGAACACGTGCGAGCTTTCGTTTGTTTGTCGTCGTAGTCCGGGCAGGCACAGTAAAAACACTTCCAACGTAGCGTCAAAATGGCCTCATCATCATCAACAAGCCTGATTATCAAGATGGAGCCAATAAATAGACGCTAGACATTTGAGTTGAGTTCAACATGACATTTCAGCTGGATGAACCTACGAACATACATATGTAACTACGTTTGGCGACAGCACAGGATATATGCTAGAGATCAGCTAGAATTGCACCATAAAGCATGAATCTCAGAATCTGAGTGGATGTTGATGGATTTTGATTTGGATTGTGAAACGATGTTGTGATCTAGTCATTTCTCATATGTCTCAATAGTTCGAGGTATGTAGAGCTGTGTATGGACGCTATGCAGTTTGATCTACACTAATGTTACAGTTACAATGAATTATGGTTGCAATGCAGCAGTGTCATCGATTTATTATTGAGGTGTATTATGGACGCTAAGCTGGAATCGGCCACAATCGTTATTATACACTGTTATAAAATACGTGGCTTTACCATAATTTGCACCAGCAGTTGGCATGCAGCCATAATGTAACAGGACTAGCGACGGCCTTGATAGATCCAGCCCACAGTCACGTCTAGTTAAGAGTCTAAGGACTAAAGCCCAGTGTAGATGTTAGCGGATCAGCCAAGCCCAAGTTCAAGACTATTCTGTGTCAGCCTCTCGTAGCAGCCCTAGCATAATTTATGAACTAGCCTAATCCAGCTGAAGTCCAGCTTGAACAACAGCCCGGGAATCGGCCCGGTCAAGCCATACAGCCCGGGAGCCAGCGTGGTTTAGTCTTGTACAGTCCAGGTCCAGCCAGGTTTGAACTTGAAGCATAAATCAAGCCAACAACATTGAATTTATAAATGAAACATTGGATCTGAACTTGATGAAATAAAAGTAGTTAGAACCAGAGCTATAATAGGCTCTGTGAAACTTCAAGACTCTTGATAACAAATTAACAGAGGTCAAGTAAAAGTTGAATTTTAATAACTATTTCATGTATAGTAGTCTATTGAAAAGTGTTTCCAATATGATTCTGCAAATACTGCATGTTTTGTTTGCAGGTAGCCAGCATTAGTTTTGTGCTCAAGTGACAAGAAAGTTAAAGGTGTAATTTCATTACAAAGTGATATTGACATCGCAGTTCAGAGTCAAGCAAGGAAGGAATATGTGGCGATGTTGAACTTTATCGCATGATCGCGTGGTCTGCATTCAAGCCCTTTTGATAAGCGAATTTTGAGGCGTGCGTAAAGGCTTTATTGGGAGATGTAAAATCAAATTACTATGGAGTATTTGTAATTGCATTAGCAAGAAGCATTTTAAGCGGTTTTACATTGATGAGGTTGGTAGGCTTAGCGCTGTAGCTTTGCTTAAATTGATGTTTGATTTCACTCTAGTTGCATGACAATTTAATTTGGTCAATTTGCTGTACAAGGTGCAAGTGCATGGTTTAGCATAAGAGGCCAGCTCCTTATTACATTTCTGTTGTGTCAAAGCCAATTAAACATGGCAGATTCAAGAAAGTCATCAAGGGAGAGGCAGCCCACGGAAAAAATGGCCGCTCTTCAGGCCTCTGAAGAATCAAAGACAGAGCGGAAGTTTTTCAAGATGTACGGCTCCCTTAAGGCCACAGTAAAGGCAGCTAGAACAATCATTAAGACAGAGACAGAAGAAGGTCCCCTCAAACAACAGATATCCATACTGGAAGCTCGAGAGAGGGAATTGATGGAAACCTACGAGATTTTGAGGAGACACAAGGTCCCCATAAGAGAGGCCACCACGAGGATGGACCGTGCCAACGCAATGGTCAGAGATAGCCTCAACGCCCTGGAAGAAGTTCTGGGATCCCTAGAAGGTCCTTTTGACGCCGAGGATCGGAAGCAGATAGCGAAAGAATTCTTGAAACAAGAATATGCTTCATCGGTCTTCAGCTCAATTTTAAGCGAAATGGACCAAGGGGTTGAAACCAGCCAACCGCGTGGAGCCACACCAGTAATTGACATTGATAGCAATCCTGGACAGCCTGTAGAATCTCGTAACACACCATCACTTCCTCCTCAAGACAAAATGTACCCAGGAGTTGGAGTAAACCAACCACCTGAAGGTATTCAAGGGCAGTCAGCAGAACTTCCTGCCAAGACGTCATCTCCTTCCCTTCAAGATGAGATGGGCCCAGAGTTTAGAGTAGGCCAGCTACATGATAGTCTACCTGATTCGCATGTGGAACCTCTTGACAAGACACCACTACAGCCGCCTCAGACAACGTCGGTTGACGTCCAGGGCTTATGTAAGGCTTTAGCAGACAACATGTACCACACAAGACTTCCGATGCCAGTGCCACGCACCTTTAGTGGGGATTCGCTCGAGTTTATAGAGTTCGAGAAAGGTTTCAAGACTTTGATCGAAAACCGTGGCATACCACCAACAGAGATGCTGTATTATCTGAAGCAGTACCTGACTGGTCCGGCAAGGGAGGCGGTGGAAGGTTTCTTTTTCGGGGACTCCAAAGAGGCATATGATGGGGCATGGAGGTGCCTTCGACAGAGGTATGGTCATCCTTTTAATGTCCAACAAGCGTTCCGGAAGAAGCTAAGTGCTTGGCCGAAGATATCCTCCAAAGATGCCATAGGTCTTCAGAAGTTTGCGGACTACTTAAAGTCTTGTGATGATGCTATGCCATATGTCACTGGCCTCCAGGTGCTAAACGACTGCTATGAGAATCAAAAGATGATAGCCAAAC